TCGCTGGCTATGGCATCTTTGAAGCTTGCAGAGCAGTAACCTTAACTGGGTAGTGAGGTGGAAAGAAAGGGTTGCAGGCAGCATTCAGAGGGTTGACGAATCAACAGTCAACCGGAACGTGAAAAGGGCAAAGGAAGGCTGTTCTTTCAAGAAGTGTCTCTAAAGTCGGGGAGATTTGGGTGGGCTCATTTGCTTCTTGTGTTTAAGAGGGTAATGGCCTACACATTTTTAAAAGCCTAAGAGAAAAAGTGGAAATGTAGGTGAAGTGGGCCAATTGATGGAGCAGGTTTTCATGGAAGATGAGCTGCACTGTTCAAGGGCACAAATAGAAAGGTCAGCTCACCTTGAACAAGATTTAATTCATAGCTCCTCTTCCGGGATAAGGAAAGAAGGGCCTGGACTCAAGTAAGCTGGTGGGTAATGCAATAGGAAGTTGATGAGTTCAACATATTACACCCAAGATTTTTTTCCCTGAAGGGGATAAATGAATGTCATTCACTGACTGTGACAGGGACATGGATTGAGTTAAATGTTTTAAAGAAACTAAGGAAGAAGTAGAATAAAAGAAAGAATTGGTTCAGATATTTCATTACCCACTTCATCAGACAACTTGATTAGACTTAATTGTAAGCACCTTTCTTTCTTTCTTTGTGAGGGGCATACACAGTATCCACTATGGATACCAATCCAAAAGTTGATGCTTTGATCCCACTCAGGAGCCCCTCAGAAGAGAGGTCTGGCAATCTACTGCTGAAAGGTCAGAGCCCGGAAAACCCAATGGGGGCAGTTCTACTGCACCCCTATGGGGTCACCATGAGTCAGAATAGATTCAATGTCAACGACAACAATCATTTTGAATTTTACATTAAGAAAACTTCCAAGTAGCTATTAGGGTTATCATCAAGTTGATTCTAACTCCATAGCAGCACTGTAGGACAGAGTAAAACCTCCCACAAAGAGCCCAAGGAAATAATTTACAGAGGCAAACTGCCACCTCTTTCTTCCGTGGAACAAGTAGGGGATGTGAACAGCAAGCATTTGGGTTAGCAATGGGCACCTCACCACTGTGCCACTAGATATTACCTTCAGTGCTTAAATTATTATTGGAAGGGAAAAATGCAGCCTAACCTTTATCTAGAAAGACCTGCATCGTACGCATTCAGAATGAGATCTTCCAGAGTGCATTGTTGAAGTAAATATTAGATACCATGCACATGGGAATTTTTAAATAGAAGGGAACTAGAAAGCATATTTTTGAGGGGGTGTCTTCTGCTGACATCGGATACACTTGGAGATACTTTACATTTTGGTACTACTTGTGGTCCAGAACCAAACATGTGCTTTCCCATCCATGTGTTGCTTTCTTTCAAGCTACCAGGAATCCCTAGAGTCTCCGGCTCTTTTGGAAAGTGATGACTGACTGATTAGACTGTTTCCTCCCCTGCACTCAGGGTTCGTGATGTACTCAGATGAAGCAAAGAACTCCCTCAAGTAGTTCACCATGGAAGTCTCATAGTTAAATGAGACAGAGATTTCTGTGACCTTTCTGTTCTTTTTTTCTTTTTGTCTGACAGAATAAAGGTCTAAGAATGTTCAGAAGATGAGTTGGATGTGGATGAAAAGATACAGACTGAGTGTGTCAAAGTTTCCATTAGGAAAACAGAAGGTTCCTTGCCAAATAGAAACACACAGAAAGAATGTTCACTGCATTTTCACCCCTCCCCGCTCACTGCTGCTTCAGACAGTTGCCAGCTCCATTTACAAACTCTTTCAGAGTGTATCTGAAATCATATCCCCAACGTGAAGGGGCAATAACAAGAATCCCAGACAAAGGGCTTGGTTACAGTCAAGTGACTGGTGTTCATCTCAGATGGGGTCCACTGGCTTGGGTCCAACGGGCTGCATCTCCAGTGTCTGCACCCTACCCTCTAAGGAGAGGGACCTGTCTGTAGCCCTTGAACGAATTGAGTTTCCCTGTTGCCTGGCTATTGCTCATGTTGTTTCGTCAACATGAAAGGACTTTACTTTCTCACCTGAAAAATTCAACTCACTCCTTAAAGCCTCTTCGAGACCATCCTCCCTTCCCTCGGTGAAACATGGCTTAACCTCCCTTTCCCACCATCAATACCATTCCCCTACCTGTTGAATCCTCTGGTCAGTGTAAACCATCCTCTTCCTTTATCTTCAAAATGTAGAATTTTGGCATGTGGCCGTTCGAACTAGGCACTGTGTGACAGCACTTTTCCATGACACTGTTTATATCATTCACTAGACACTGAGTCAATAAGCAGAGGTCATAGCTTATTCATATGGGCATCCTCAATGTATAGTAGACTGTCTTCCTGAGAGTTGATGCTTGGTAAATGTTTCTGAATGAATGGATGAAAGTGTGCCTAACATGCATGTAGAGCAAGAATGAACCTGCCATCTGTGCATCTCTTTACAGTTCATATTCACTGTCCCTGTAAATTATAAACCCGGGGGTCCCTTTCTGTTCATTACAATAGGCAGTTCCCTCTGATTTATTGACAACTTCTCGTTGCCCTTTAAGCCTATATAAATTTTCCCTCATATGGAAACTTTTGAACTAACGCCTCCTCATAGCAATTTCTTCATCACAACCACCTTCTTTTGGTGCGTGTGCAGTTTTAAGTGCCTTGAGATGGCTTCAAGCCTTTACCTGCACTGAAACCCAAACCGAACCCATTGCCATTGAGTTACTTCCAATTCATAGCCACCCTATAGGAGAGGACAGAACTGCTCCCAGGGTTTGTTGAGGTTGTAGGATCTTTATAGAACCCCAACGCCTCATCTTTCTCCCTCTATGACTGGGTGGTGGGGGGATAAGAGTTCAGTTCAAACTGCTGACTGTGAGATTAGCAGCCCAATGCCTAACCAATGAATTAAGACCAAGTAGAGACAGAATGCACATGTTCACCCCTGCAGATTCATCAAGGCACAGGAGTAAGTCCATTCACAATCCAGGTATTTGGATATTAGGTTTGGTTTCTTTTTTAAATTGTAAATTAGGTTAAGATTTACAACGCAGACTACCTGTTTCACATTCTGCAATTTACATACATTTTGTTTCCTTCATCCACTGTTGTCCCCTCAATGCACCAGCCCTTATCCCACTTCCGCCTGCGTTTCCTGTTTCCATTCCTCCTTCTTTCCTGACCCTTTGAACTTGGTCCGTGGGGAAATGCTGCACATTTGATCTTAAGTGGTTGATTATTGTAACACTGGGCTGAGTTCAGTTCCAGGTCTGAAGGGCGATGAAGGGCCATAGTCTGCGGGGTTCCACAGTCTCTATCTGACCAGAAAACTGGGTCTCTTTTATGATTTTAGTTCTGTTTTGTGTTTTTCTCCCACTCTCTCCAGGGCCTCCTAATGTGATCCTTTTCCAGAGCAGTTGGAGAGGTAGCTGGGCACTATCTAGTTCTTCTGGCTTCAGGGTTTGGGAAAGTGATGTTTGTGTGAACCATTAGTCCATTGGACAGATTATTTCCTTGTATCTTTGGATCACTCTTCTTCCCTCTGCTCATGAGTTTCTAAGACCCCAGTTGCGCTCACCAAAATAGAGGGTAGAACATTGTCTTTGTGAACTATGTTATAGGCATGATTTGTTTGCCTGCTTAGCCCCAACCCCATGGGTTGCCCTTAATCACAGGTCTTCCTGTGCATGGCATTTGGGTCAAGGCTACAAACACAAAGTGAAGTCATACTTTGGCTCTAATTACTGAAGCATTTGATTATGGTAGATCAGATGTTGCTGTCTGACTGAATTATCCTGATTTATCTGGTTTGGCATATTGGAGTGATCAAATTGATTGGATGGCTATCAAGTATCTGATACTCAGTGAGCACCCCACCCAGGACTTCTTCATTCTTTGACATGTGATTTTTCTCCCCCATAAAGTTTTGCAATAAAAAAAAAAAAAGAATGTTCGGGGTCTCGGAGCACTTTTATCAAACACAAGTCACTGTAAGTCTGTCAAATAAAATTAGACTATTTATAGCAAACATAGCCTGTAGAAGGCAGCTCAACAAAAAGCAAGCCACGGCTATGATTGGGTGTTTCCCTCAAGCTTCCAACCAGTTGTGTTGATGTTATCTAGCCTCCCATCATTTCTTGTGTTCAGGGAAAGCAATTGAAAAATGAAGAGATTATTTTTGAGATTTAAAAAAGATCCTCTCCCCCTCCACCATACAGCATGACTTTGTGTGAGAGAAGAGCTCACATGTTCAAAAGGGAAGACTTTTTCAAAATCAACAGTTTATTTGATAAAACAGCTTTTACAGAATTGGTCCTGAGTACACTGAATATCAGGACTGAAGTTTATTTGGTCAAGGATAACCATTGAAAATATACATTTCATAGTTCCCTAACAATAGTACAGGCCAAAGATTCCTTTCATGCAATGGCCATCCTTACAAATAATTTAGAATTAAAAAGATTTTATTAAATAATACAATTTACATCTTCAGGGCAGCTCAATTCCTCTCCATCTCATCAGTTTTCTTCTTTGGTTACAGAAACATCAAGCAAAAGCTATATCTATATATCTATGTACTTATAGAGCTAGATATAAATATATAAGACGTATAAATGCACAGTCTCCTGGTTTTCATCCAGCACTCCCCACTCAACTCTAGAGTGTTATTTGGAAAGCAAAATAAACACAATTAAGAGCAGGTGGAATGGCTACAATATGACTTTGATAGGTATGAAATGAGAGCTGTAGCAGGAGCTTGCAATCAGGGCTCCTTTCCTAGGCAGTGGTGCGAGAAAGGAAGGACTCGATCTACACCACCATCGGTAGCCCCACGAATGCAGCAGTCACAGCTGACCTTGATTTGGAAGGAGAAGCCCATTTGCTGTTCATTCCCTCCCACCAATCTGTCACTGTGCTGAGTGAATCGTGTACTAGTAAGTGTGAGTGTTTATTTATTCTTTCTCCTGTCGTGTGGCTAACATCATAATATTTTGTTTTCTGCAGGCATGAAAGCAGATTTCAGCAACGTATGCTGGAACTGACAGACACAAACAACATTGCCTACTTGTTTCTCTCAGCTGCCAACAGATGGCTAGAGGTCAGGACGGTATGTTCATTTCATAATTTCGAAATGGAAACCAAACAGAGAAGAGGCCTGATGCAAAGAGGGAGACAGTTGCAAAAACTAGTCTTCAACTGAGATTCAACAGTATGTTCACATTTTCTGGGTTTTTAAATAGCTCAGGTTTCTTCAGACCACAGGTGAAATTTGTCAACATGTTTTAGCTAATGACAAGTGTCTTCCGAGCAAAAATTCATTTTGTGTTCATTAGTCTCTCGATTACATAAGTTAATGGAATGGCAAATATTTGTATAACTTCAAATTCTTCGTTTTCAAAAGAGCAGAGTTGACAAGTGAACAGATGTGCTCATTTCCTCCCTGGGCTGGAGAAGCAGACAATAGGAGATGACTTTCTATGTTTTAAGCCTGTGGAGGATCACGTTAGCCCAAATTCTCTCCAGTCTTATGTAGGAGGGCATGGGCATCAGACAGACATGGTCTAGCAATCTTCCAGCTAATCTCCCAGAATACGAATTTGCAACCCATGGAAGTGGTAGGATTTAAAATAATACCGTATAAACTCACTTCTTAGAATACTTAGCAAATTGACCTCAATGCTTGTGTTTTGAATGGATGGATGAATGAGTGCATAAATGGAGTCTCTACCTATCCTGGTAAGTGGCATATAAACCCACCAATTGAAGTAAGATGTCAGTGATAGATGAAAGAGAAGTTTCAAAAGGGAAGGAGATAAAGTTTGCAGATTGGCTTGTGTAAACTACAACATGAATAAACTATTGGGATAATGGACTGTAATCTTTACTTTTAAATAATTATATATATATATATATTTTAAAAAGACAAGGCTACCTGTGGTATTGTAAGAACCTCATCTCATTGATGATGCATCCCTACCTTAAACAGGCTTTGATTTGAAAACTCGGCACATCAGAGAAGGCAGATGGTAAAGGGAACTTGATAAGAGTGCAATCAGAGAGCCCACTTCAGACTCTGAGTAATTGATTGATAAGTGTTCTTGGGCACCCTGGTGAATTGTAGGTATCACGATTTCTCCTTGGTTTGCATAAATCCTCTGCTGCTGTGTTAGCTCTCTGTAGAAACAACTCAGCAACATTACACAATTATATTTCTCAAATTTTAGATATAAGCATTGGCTGTGGATAAATTCTTTGCCTGTAGCTGTAGGCATTAGGACAGGACAGAATTTCTCTTTATGTACCTCTAGATAAACATGAGCACAGATGAAGAGTTGCATGTGGCTTGGGTTATGCTTTGAGCTGGTAGCGGCAAAGCCCGCACAGCAAAACCAACAGCAGCTCCTCAGGTGGAAGAAGAGGCTTTCTTTTCGATGCCTTAAAGATTATTATAGGGTCCCGGGGACTTGGAATTGACTCAGTGGGAGTGAGTGATTAAGTTCCTAAATCTAGTCTTTTAGCTAGGTGGGGTTTTACTGTTCGTTTTTCTTTTTTGGTATAAGAAGAAAAAAAATTCTTATATTGAATAAGATTAATCGTGAAGTAACTTAATGCAAGCATGTCCCACCATCACAAGAGGTATTCTACCCTTAAAGATTGAGTCCTTTTTTTTTTAGGGGGAAAGTGAGTTTGCTTTGGGCTGGAGGTGAGTACGACTCCTGTGTCTGCTCTTGAGTGCTTCCTGCCGTCAGCTTAATGGACACGTGTTTTAACAGGAAATTTCCCAGCACACCTTAGGTTGCCTTCTCATGGCCCAAAGACAAGATGCTAGAGCCCCCAGACTGCGAAGAAAGGAGAGGTCAGAAAAAATATCAGAACAGCAGACAAACTCAGAATGCTTAGATTTTGATTGACACACAACCTCACCCCACATATGAAAAGGCGGGCCTAGCTGGATATATAAGTAATCTGAGCCCATCTGTAGAAACCTTAAAGAAAATACTAACATTTGGAACTGGAATGGCCGATTTTTTTCTGCTGTATGATAATATATTTGTTATTATGTTTTGCCTTTTTGTTTTCTGAGCATTACCATCCTTCCAACATTTGCAATGTAGTCTCATTACCCAGGCTCTTCCTTGGAAACTAATACAAAAAAATTGAAAGAATTTGTGCTTCTTTTTTATTTTTTGGTAAGAAACTTTTATTAATGTATTGCAATGTCCTCTTCATATTATCTGGGAGGGGGGGAGCCAAGACCCAAGGCTTTTGTGTCTGAGTTTTTCATTGACCTATTATATTTATGGCCGTCCATTTATGTGGGTAAGCACGCAGGCACACACACATCCCCCTGGACACTCCAGAGATCTAACTTAAGGCCAATCTACTCATATCCATTCTGTGCTTCTGAGTGCACGGAGAGTTCTCATTGTCACCAGGTATATTCCAATGTAAGTGCTGTCCTTCAGGGACAGGTGACACAGGGGTGACATGAAGTAAGTTAAATAAGCCACTGCTTTTCAGGTAGAGCTTTTTTCTCCCAACTGTGGCACATTTAAATGATCAACATACTTCATTACTACTGTGCTTCTGTGGACATCTCCACATCGCTGAAAGCACAATTTCATTAGAAATCATTGGTATGTGTCAGAGTATGAATATTGAGACACACCCCCTTAGAGACGAGGGTGTTATCTCGGTGCACCTCACAGCGGGACATATTCTCCCTTGAACATCGTTTAAAAAAATAAGCGATGAAAACTATTGGGTTCAATAAATTTGCATCGATGAATGAACCCAACTTCCACCTCCTTCTACTTTTTGCCCTATGACTAAGGAAATTAATACAAATGCATATTTAACCCAAATGTTCTTAGAGTTCCTAAAACAGAAACACCACAGAAATGACACCAGGAGGGATGCCACATTGGGTATACATCAGATGAAGCAAAAAGGGTTTTCTGACGCAGTTATGATGATTGCATCTGCTCCGATCTGCAGACTCATTTTCTTAAGAGAGAGAAAGCTTTATAAAATAGCCTTCTAGGGCTGTTTGCCCGTTCTTCTCATTCACGATTGGACCTCTCCAAAGCAAGGCCACCGACTTCCATTGATAGAAAGTCCCAAGACAAGGAAAGGAGGGAAACCGGAATCAAAACCTATCTTGTTGACTCTGCAGAGATTCCTAAGTCCCGTCCAATTTTTGTTATCTGCCCCTGTGTTAGTCTGGGTACGTTAGAGAAACAAATCCATAGAAACTCTTACGTATAAGAGTTTTATATAAAGGGTAAATGTACATTAATAAAACATCTCAACCCAATGCTGCCCAAACCCACATGTCCAACATTAACCCATATGTCCAACACCATCCACAAATTCCCCCTCCATCTCACAAAACACACACAATGATGCCAAACTACAGGAGGAAAGCTGAATCAGTGAATGTGTAAGCATCTCA